CTCCCTGTCCCTCCTGTGGTCTGCCTCTGTCTGTCTGTCTGTATGTTTGTATGTATGTATGTGTATGTATGTGTGTGTGTATGTATGTATGTATGCATGTATGTATGTATGTATGTATGTATGTATGTATGTATGTATGTATGTATCTACCTATCTATAGTAATAATAATAATAATAATAATAATAATAATAATAATAATAATAATAATAATAATAATAATAATGATAATGACAATAATAATAAAAATAATAACAATAACACTAATAGTAATAATAACAAAAAAGACTACAAACAACAACAACAACACATAAACAACACCGGATCCCTGTGAAACGAACCCCTGGCCTCAGCTCTCACAGGTACCCGGCTCCCCTTCCTACCTGTACACTGGACCCGTAATCAACACCTGTCTGTCATTAACGCTAATTAATTATCCACAAGCTAAAAATTATATCAACCTGTGAGTTAATTATGAAAGTTAGGGCATTGTGTTTAAGTGTTTTATGTTAAATTGTGGAAAGATATTGTGATTATTGCTTAAAAATTATGATTTATTAAAACTTTGAAGTGTGTGTGAGAGAGAGAGAGAGAGAGAGAGAGAGAGAGAGAGAGAGAGAGAGAGAGAGAGAGAGAGAGAGAGAGACCCTGTTTACCTTAACACAGATAATGATGTATAATCCACACCTGAGACAGCCACACATAATAACATGCAAATACCTGCTGTGTCACCTGGGGAGTGTCTCTCACGCCTACCTTACATCAACTACAGCCTAAAGTAACCTAACTTAACCTAACCAAACCTAACCCTAACCTAACCTAATATAACCATAACCTAACATAACCTAACCAAACTTAACCTAACCAAACTTAACCTAACCAAACCTAACCTAACCTCAATTCAACATCACTAAATATAAGCCCAGAAGAGAGTTGCCGTGGAGGAGTGTGTACGCTACTCATCTCCTCTCTAAGACTAGCTAGTTCCATCTTCAGGGCGCCCCCAGTCGACCCATATGTTAATGGACACCTCATCCTTCCTCCCTCTCACCCTCCCTCTCATTCCCTCTCACCACCCACTGTTTTCCTCACTACTCCTCCCCACCTTCTCACCCTCTGTCTCTCACGCCTTCTCTCCCTCCCTCCCACCATCCCCTACCCTCCCTCCCCCTCCCTCTCACTTTCTCCCCCTGCCTCTCACCCCTCCCTCTCACCCCCTCTCTCCCGGGTCCGCGTGGAGGAAAAATTAATTAACTCTGGGAAGTAATTACGTCAGAGTGAGAGAAATTAATGTTTTTTTTCCCCTAGACGAGCGGCCGGGTGAGAGAAAGTGGAGAGAAGGTAGAGAAAGAGAAGAGAAAGTAAAACAAAAAATTATAATGTGGAGAGAAAATAGTGAAAAATGGAGAGAAAGTAGAGAAAACGGAGAGAAAGTAGAGAAAACGGAGAGAAAGTAGAGAAAAATGGAGAGAAAGTACAGAAAACGGAGAGAAAGTAGAGAAAATTGGAGAGAAAGTAGAGAAAACGGAGAGAAAGTACAGAAAACGGAGAGAAAGTACAGAAAACGGAGAGAAAGTAGAGAAAACGGAGAGAAAGTAGAGAAAACGGAGAGAAAGTAGAGAAAACGGAGAGAAAGTACAGAAAACGGAGAGAAAGTAGAGAAAACGGAGAGAGATAGAAAAAGTGTACTAAATATTGACAGTATAGAACACAGAAGAAATATAATAGGAATAGATGAAAAGAAAGTTAGAGCGAAACCTCTCTCTCTCTCTCTCTCTCTCTCCTTTATCAAACATTCCTCTGCATGACTCAACAGAAGAGGCAGGCGTGCGTATAAACATTGCATTGTTTTTCTTAGTAGTGATAATGTTAGTACAGGTGACACGGGCAGGTTGAGACGATGTTGATGCTTCTTCCGGCCACACACAGCCTAATATAGTCATAGTTTAATACAGTCACAGCCTAATACGGTCACAGTCTAACACAGTCACTTACAGTACGTCTGCCTGTGTCTGACTTCATACTGTGAGTACGACAATTTGAGTACGGTTATTTCGGTACGGTAACTTTCAGAATATGTACGACGATTGCTTTCTTCAGTGATTTTTTCCCCCCTGAGTACGACACTTTGAGTTCTTTGAATTGTTTTTATGAGTACCATCATTTATTAGGCGAGCATAGTGAGTTTTCCGACGGACGCGAAGATTTTTCTAACGTGTACGACTATTTTCCTGAAGTACGACAATATTAGTCCCGTGTACGACGACGAACATCTTCCCTGAATAGCACGTCTTGACTTCTGTAAACATTCATTGGTGACAAGCGTACGATAACTTTCCCCTGTAAACGATAACTTAATTCCAACAGAGTATGAATGTAAACAAACAACCTTGAGTACGATAACTTCCCGCCAAATACGATAACTTAAACACCTGAGTATGATAACCGAAAACTTTAAGCCACAAAGGCATAATAACTCACTATTAGCAAGAAAACAGAGCCTTATTTATCTCTTTATTCTATTTATCTTTCTCTCTCTATCCGCCCATTCTTACATCTTCACTACACGTATTTCATGTCGTCTCCATAAGTACTTAAAGGCCTAGGATGAAACCAAAGGCCTAGGATGAAACCAAAGGCCTAGGATGAAACCAAAGGCCTAGGATGAAACCAATTCCATTTCACCCGGGTTTCTAGCTCTCATCTGATTGGTCGAGGCGCTTTTCTCAAGTCATGCAAGTCTGATCTGATCGGTCGGAGAGAGAGAGAGAGAGAGAGAGAGAGAGAGAGAGAGAGAGAGAGAGAGAGTAAATTTATTCTTTTAATCCAATTTTCCACACACAGCCAAACAGACAGTCAAACACACACACACACACACACACACACACACACGCTAGACTGTACTGCCATAAATAAGAGTTTCCATCTAACGTTCCCAGTAACCCGAAGGCGAAAGCGTAGGAGGGGAGGGAGGGGGAGGGAGGTAGTGAATGGGGGAGGGAAGGAGTGAAGGAATGAAGAAGGAAAGGAGGGATGTAGCGAAGGATGGAGGAAAGCAAGGAAGGAGTGAAGGAGTGAAGGAATGAAGGAGTGAAGGAGTGAAGGAATGAAGGAGTGAAGGAGTGAAGCAATGAAGGTCCCGAGGCTCCTGTCAGGCCAACAGCTAACAGACGCCGTTCCTGAAACTCCTTTATTAACAAGGCCAACGGGGCTCCCGGGCAGATGGTGGGGAGGGTGAGTGTGGGAGAGGGAGGAAGAGGGAGGGAGAGTGTGGGAGAGTGAGGGAGAGTGTGGGAGAGTGAGGGAGAGTGAGGGAGGGGAGGGAGAGGGGAGAGTGTGGGAGGGAGGAGAGGAGGGAGGGAGAGGGGGGAGAGGGAGGGAGAGTGAGGGAGAGGGAGGGGGGGAGAGGGAGGGAGGGGGGAGAGGGAGGGAGAGGGAGGGAGGGGGGGAGAGGAGGGAGGGGGAGAGGGAGGGAGGGGGGAGGGAGGGAGGTGGGGAGAGGAGGGAGAGGGAGGGAGAGGTGGGGGAGGGTGGGGGGAGAGGGAGGGAGGGAGGGGAGGTGGGAGAGAGGGAGGGAGGGAGGGGAGAGGGGGAGAGGGAGGAGAGGAGGGGAGAGTGAGGGAGAGGGAGGGAGAGTGAGGGGAGAGGGAGGAGAGGGAGGGAGTGGGGGGAGGGAGTGAGGAGGGAGGAGGGAGGTGAGGGGAGGTGAGGGAGAGTGAGGGAGGGAGGAGAGAGGAGGAGGGAGGGAGAGTGGGGAGAGAGGGAGGGAGGGGAGAGGGGAGAGGGAGGGAGGGAGGGAGGAGAGGAGGGAGAGGGAGGGAGGGTGTGGGGAGAGGGGAGGGAAGGGGAGAGGGAGAGAGGAGGGAGGGAGAGTGAGGGAGAAGAGTGTGGGAGAGGGAAGGAGAGGGAGGAGGAGGGGGGGAGGGGGAGGGAGGGGGGGGAGAGGGAGGGAGAGGGAGGGAAAGTGTGGGAGAGGGAGGGAGAGTGAGGGAGAGGTGGAGGGAGGGAGAGGGAGGAGAGTGTGAGAGAATGTGAGATAGGTTTTTTCTGGGTTTAATTGATACTTCCTGTTTCAACTTTTTTTCTCTCTAATAAACGATGACTAATGTAATAAACTCTCTCTCTACTCACTCACTCACCCACTCACCCACTCACTCACTCACCCACTAACTCACTCACTCACCTCACCCACTAACTCACCCACTAACTCACCCACTCACTCACTCACTCTCCTCACCCACTCACTCACCCACTCACTCACTCACTCAAAGGGAGGCTATCTATCACACACCTCCAGACCACGCTAGGGAAATTTCAGTCAGTTATTTCATGGGCAGCATCACGAGGTGGAGTTCCTGAGCCCTAGAGGGAGATATGAACGTGTGTGTGTGTGTGTGTGTGTGTGTGTCTCTACATATCTCCTACCTATCTCTCTATGTCTCATCGCTGTCTCTTATATTTATTCTCACTTTCTGCGCTTTTATTTCATTCTCCATTTTCTTTCTTTCTTCATTGTCTCTGAGTCTTTCTCCCTGCCCCAGCTCTTTCTCCCTCTATCTTCCTCCCTCACCTCTCTCCCTCCCTCACCTCTCTCCCTCCCTCACCTCTCTCCCTCCCTCACCTCTCTTCCTCCCTCACCTCTCTCAGCCATAATGAGGCGGGAGGTAAGGGGCACAACCTTGATATAATGAGCACTACTTCAGGCTTATAAACACAGTCGTACACCTTCCACTGGTTAACGTAATAACTGTGTGTGTGTGTGTGTGTGTGTGTGTGTGTGTGTGTGTGTGTGTGTGT